TAGTAGCTCTAATGCAAGAATATTATATATTTAAACTTCTTTCTAGTAACTACTTTGCAACTAAGCTATCACTTCTCTCAAATTCAGAGCATATTAAAACTAGTATACAATTTACTTTTCTAATTATAGATAACATCATAGCTCAAAACTTTATACAGTAAGTCTTATAAAAATATAGTATATAATTTTCATTATCACACAATATCATGCAAGCAAACCCTACTAATAAACCTATTCTATCTATTAAAAACCAGGTTATTGCAGATTATAATATCACTATATCTATTACATCACTATAGCAACTTATACAAACTGTAAAACTTTTCTGTCAATATTACTATTTTATAAAGATACCAGAAGAGTGGATTAAAATTTCAGTTCAAGTGCTTATACAATTAACTACTAATTCTAATGATACAAATAATAGTAAAAAACTACTTCATTCTTCTATATCAGACAATCTAGAGGATATCAACAAGTTCCTAGCTTTTCACAATATACAGCTAGCATTGACAATTACATTACAAATACTAGTTACCTCTATTATATAAACACTATATCAATACTTTATAGTTAAAGATATTCACAGTTTCTTATTCAAGTTATTTCCATTACCAGCTCTATCCTAAACAATATTCTCTAATGCAAACCTATCCTCTACTACTATATCAGAAGATAACACAATACTAATAGATTTAAATTAACAAACTTATAACAATATAGCTTACAACTCAGCTACTCACAATTACTACCCACAATGCCCAAGAACTTAACCAAATCACAAAAAAACAATTACTATTTGACTACTGTTTAGCTCAAAAGTTTAATATTATATTAATCACAGAAACAAAATTCATATACTCTAAATATACAAATATAAATCTGTATAATCAGCACTACAAATGTGTTATATCTAATAATTCAACTACAATCTCACTACATTCTAGAGAATCTAGTGTAGATATAAGCATTCTTATATATCAATTATTCACAATATCTATATACTACCTAGTATAGCTATTGCAATTAATCTATTTTTTTCACATAAAAATAACTTTCACATCATATCAGTATACCTACCTAAAGAGATACTTATGAACAATAAAACCTATAATTAGATTATCCTATAGATCTAACAAGCCCACTAGCCGTAAATAACATCTATAATCCTAGAAGACTCAAACAAACAACAAAGATCAACATTATACAAATATTTTGAATTACATAATTTTGTATCTCTAGTCTACACCATTACTTTTATTCATCTACATAAAGCAGAAATAACTTTTAGCTAAATTGATATAATATGTATACTTTAGCAAATTATGCATATAGCTACCACAGATCAAAATTTTTTAATATAATAAGGTGATTAATAGCTGATATATAAAAAAACAACCAATATATAATTAGCTAGAAGATTGTTTACTAGATAATACAATCATACAAATATCAGCTTTATATTATAGGAAGATAGCTTGATAATAAATTAAATATTAAAAAATACACTAAAAATAAAGCTGATATAATAATATTTGTTGGGAATTATGCTGAAACAAAATGATGCTAAAATGTGGCGGTCTCAATTTAGAAATATAAATTCTACTAAAATCTACTTATACATTTTTATTATAAATACTAGTTTTAAACACTAACTTAATTACAAAAAAAAGCTAAAAAAATATTTTCCTAAAAATTTAAAATTTAATATTAAAATAAGTTAATATTTTAGAACAAATCCAGGATATTGATGAGATTTTCTGGGTCACGTGTATTCTGAATTTTCAATCTAATTTGGATGATGAGATAATCATTTATTTTTTGTAAAACCAGTACCAGGGGGTGTATGATCAATCAGATCTAAAAAAAATTTTACTGCTACAGTATTATGTATATATGTCATATTGTTTTTTTTGGATTCATACTTTGGAGCATCTTTGTCATTCTTTGTAATTATTTTTTAAGATTATCTTTTTTTTATAATATTAATTTGTTTTTTTATATCTTTAAGGTTTTTTTCAAGCTTTTTTCTGATCCTTTAAAGCTTTATAGATATATTTTCTTATAAACTTTTGTCTTATCTTTCAATGTTTTCTAGTAAACTTCTATTGATTTTTTAAAATTTGTTGGTAAATTTTTTGTAAACTTTCTTTTAGGTTTTCTTGTAAACTTTCCTCTGGTCTTTTGACATTTTGGTAAACTTTTTTGAAGACTTTTCTCTTGTCTTTTGGTGTTTTCTAAAGAATTTTTGTGGATTTCTTTTGGCCTTTTAGCATTTTTTGATGAACTTTATGGTGGTCTTTCAGCATTTATGAAAAATTCTCTGAGGACTATTCATAAGTCTTTTAGTATATTTCTTTAGCATTTTTTCTGAAGAATTCTTATGGACTTCTCTTAGGACTTTAGCGTTTTTTTGGAGAATTTTTGTAGACTTTTCTTGAGACTTTTAGCAGGTTTTTTGAAAAATTTTTGTAGACTTTCCTTAAAACTTCAGTAGGTTTTTTGGAGAATTCTTGTGGACTTTTCTAGGACTTTAAACAGGTTTTTTTTAGCAAATACTTATAAACTTCTTTTAGGACTTTTGGCAGTTTTTTTTTGGAGAATTTTTGTGAACCTCCCTTAGAACTTTTGCATTTTTTTTGGAGAATTCTTGTGGACTTCTTTTTGGACTTTTAGCAGCATTTTTTCTAAAGAATTCTTGCAAACTTCTCTTAAGACTTCAGCATTTTTTTGAAGAATTCTTGTGGACTTCTCTTGAAACTTTTAGCAAATTTTTTTAGAGAATTCTTGTGAACCTCCCTTAGGACTTTTGGAGTTTTTGGAGAATTTTCCTTAGGACTTTTAACAGTATTTTTTTTGAAGAATTCTTATAGACTTCTTTTAAGACTTCAGCATTTTTTTTTAAAAAATTCTTGTGTATTTTTCTTGAGACTTTTAGCAGGTTTTTTAGAGAATTCTTGTGGACTTTTCTAGAACTTTCAATGTTTTTTTTGAAGAATTTTTGTGGACTTCCTTTAGGACTTTTAGCAGGTTTTTTAAAAAATTCTTGTAGACTTCTCTAGGACTTTCGGTAGGTTTTTTTTAGTAATTTTTGTAGATTTTTGGAGCTTTTTTTTTGAGAATTTCTTGTAGATTTTTTTTCTGAATTTCTGTATTTCTATTTTTATTTTTTTTTACTTTAAAATTTTTTTTGCTTTTTTTTTATTTTTTATTTTTCTTTTTGTAATTTTTATCAATAAAATGCACTCTGAAGTATAGTTTAAGTTGTGATTTGTATTTTTTATTGTTATTGCAAATTAATCACGTGATTCCGGTCTTAATTAGAGCTCAATTTTTCATATGATTTAGAAAATCTTATCTACATTCTGGTGCTGTTATATTTTAATATCATCTTGTTTTAGCATCATTCCTGACAATATTTAATATAATCAATAAATATATGAATATAATATAAACTGATATACTTATGATTATATATATTATTAGAAGATAATATATCAAATAATAAATTTTTATTCATGAATTAAATTATAGCTGATATATTATTTATTTATCCAAGAGTGTAGTAACTTAGTGAAGTTGTTAAGTTGTTATACCCCAAGTGACTTGTCAGCTAGGTAAGAGGTTTGAAACCTATGGGCAATGAATTTTAAAAAATTCAACTTGTATAATAGCTACTATTTTTTGTCTATCGGTTAGAACAGATCTCTGTAACCTTAGTAGCACCAACTAGATTAGAAGATCATGTGGCATTTGTGTTATGCATGAGTTATATGAATAGAAGTTCAATGATCATATTAATCTGAGGAACTAAAAAGATGAATATCCACTTGGCAAGACCTGAATAAAGAGGTAGCATAGATCTTTAATGATATTATATAAAAGACTATTATTGAGAAAACCACTAAATACTAAATAAAACTTAAGTGTATAGCAAAGCACTCTACTAACCAGACCATCATGGTCAGAGGAAAAGAACCTGCTTAATCACAGAATACCAGAAGACAGGTAAATCTACAGGCAAAAGTTCCTTTCAAGCTATCTAAATTGGGAGATTGGGATGCTAAATATAAGTATTTGGAAAGATACTTCACCAACCTAGTTGTCAGAACTGGAAGAAAAGAATTTGCTTAACCACAGAATACAGGGACTCATAAATCTGCAGGCAAAAGTCCTCTCCAGACCATCTGGATTGGTAGTTTAGAAATGTGAAGAGTATTAGTAATAGTTTATAAAGTGAATACTGGGGTTTGAATGAACTTTACAAAGACAAAAGTAGGTAATGATAGCAGCTTCAGCTTGCAAATACTTGTCCTAAGACTTGTTATAAGTTACCAAAGTCTAGATTAATTGGATTGTGAGTATAGAAAGCTCTAGCAATGATGTCTTAGAATAAATTAGTCCTAAGGCTATGATAAATATCTAGGACTTCTTGACTGACAAATATAATAGAAATATTCCAGTATTATATAAGAGTTACATTACAGAAGGTTTAAATTGATATCCCCTAGTTGCATTTAGGGATGTTAAATTGGTCCGTCGATCTGATCTAAGATCGGTCCAAATTGGTCTTTTTTATTATCATGTGAGATTTAGATCACACGTGATTAATTCTGCCGTACGTACATATCATTATGACCAATATATTTTACAAAAAATAGCTAAAAGATGTTCTCTTCGAAAAAAAACTAAAAATTGTTATTGGAACCCGATTTATATATGAAATATATGAATTCAATCTATTACAAATTCTATGATATATTTATTATGTTAAATACCAGAAATAAAAACCTATAGATAATATCATATCAAACACAATAAAACCAAAAATAATCTAAATATATTTATCTTATATTGATATATATATTAATAAAAAAAACTAAAAAATTTAAATTGAAAAAAAAGCCAAAAAATTAAAAAAAATTTTTTTAAAAAAAATTTTTTAACTATTTCTCTTTATCATTAAAATTAGTAAAATAATCTTTTTTTTTTGAGTTTCATTAATTTCTATAGTGTTTACCAATAACAGTATTCAAATTATTTTCATCAATTTGAATTTTATTATACTCATCTGCTATCCAATCTTTTAAATATAAACTAGCCCGTGCAGTCTCCAGTAATAAATGTGTTCATGTTTTACTAATCATAAGACCAGCCAAGGAAAATTCTTGTTCGGATGCTACACTCGTAGCTTGTATATATAGATAATCACAGGCTATCTTTGATAATATTGGGTATTCCGATTGATGTGAATTCCACTATAATAACAGATCTGTATCAAATTCAGGAGCATTATCTAGATAATGGGATATTTCATCGACATAGTGAGTTGGAAAATATAATTTTTTACTTAAAATATTTTGAAAATATAAATGTGATAAAGGTTGTTGATTCGAATGTTGTTGACTTAAGTGTAACAAATGATTATTGGTTTGTTGATATATAGCAAAAATGGTTTGTAATTTTTGCTTGACATTATCAAGTTGTTCAACAGTAAAGGATGTAAGTTTAGATCGCAGATCAAAAACTGCTGATAAAATAAATGTTTCATCTAAAGCTAATTTCCAATAACTTATTAATTTTTTATAAATTAATTCTGCGACCTCTTTTTGGGAATTATATTTAATAAAATTACTCAGCATATTAAACATTTCAAGAAACGCCAAACACATATCGCCAATTGTTGGATGCTTTGATGTTGATAGTAATTTCGTAGCTTCGTACATCGGTTTAAGAAGTTGTTCAAGATTTTTTAACTCAATCCACTCATTTTCATTAGAGTAAATATCTATTAGCATTTGCCTATTATTAACAAAAAGAACCTCACTTATATCTTGATTTTTAAGCTGTTGTTGAATCATGAGATATGTAGAATTTCATCTCATACTAACATCAATTATTGGTGATAAATATTCAATATTTTTTGATACACAAATTTTTCACATCTCATCAGTTAGACGTGGCGATTCTTTAAGTTTACTAACCCATTTATGAAGTCTTTTTAATTCTGATCCTGTAGCTTTTAGACTCTGCTGAACAGCCAAATTAATTACATGAGCTGAATAACGATAGTGTGAAAAGCCTAAGCTATTGAGTTCATTGTCTAATTCATTTGCTAATAGAAAACAACATGCTACCATGTTGGATCCGTTGTCCGTTGTTAAACTTATTATACGATTGCTTAAATTAAAATCGTTTAAAACTTTCTGCAAAAGGGTGGCAATATATAATGTGGTATATTTTTCATTTAAAGGAATTATGTCTAAAAGAATCTTTTTTAATTCCTACTCTGAAGTAATATAATGTGCAGTTAATGATAAATATGATTCATTAACTATTGACGACCAAATATCCGTGGTTAATGCAATTTTTCCTGAAATACGTTTTACGAAATTTTCACTAAGTTTTGACCATTGAATATTAAAATTTTTACTAATAATATTTTTAACAGTTTGACACGTTGGTATTTTGTATTTGGGGTTAAGTAGATCAATAAATTTGCAGAAATGGAGATTTTCAACAACAGAAAAAGGTTAAATATCTGAGATTATCCAGTTAATTAAGTGTTAAGTAATTTGGATTGATTCATTTTTGGTATATTTTATTGTACTGTAGATTTCAAGATGATTTTTTTGTAGATGATGACGTAATGTGGTTATAGCACAGCTGGGCGAATAATATTTTTGGCTAGATGGACATAATTTACAAGAATAACCAATAAGGATACCATTGTCATTAAATCAGTTGGTAATAAAAGTCTATACATCTGAAGCATAATGGGTAGTGGCAACAGTTAAAGACATATTAATAAAATATCTAAGTTTACAAACAATAGATTCAAATGGCAAAGAAAAAAGTGAGCTTATTTATAAAAATTATTTCTTGAATTTATCTATTTTAAATCTTGAAATATTGGGCATAGGCATTATTTCAAAAATCAAACCTTCATGATTTTAAAATAACGGCCATACGCGTCCTGAAATAATGTGCATTTCTGTACGTGTTTTTTAAAATACTTCTGTGACGATTATAATCTCAATATATTAGTCAAAATTGACTAATGCAACAAAAAGTTCGCACTTTATTGCTATGTTAATCAAAATAACGCCTATGTGTATATCTGGAATAATGCGCAGATGTTCAAAATAATACAGTCAGCCCTCGCTATAGTCACACCTTTGGGCCCCCCAAAAAATGTGATTATAATGAGGGTGTGACTATAAAAAAATTTTTTAAATTTGTAAATTTTATATTAAAAATTAATTTTATATAGTTTAATATTGCCAAAAAATATATTTATTAATATAAAACTATAGCTTTAAAAAAAATTTTCTATAGTTTTTTGTTTCATATTTTTCGAATATTTTTTTCTAACAATATTATTATATTTTTTTAAAGTATACAAATCTTCAACTTTAAATTCTGCATCCGCTTGTTGTTTAAAATAATCAATAAAAGTAGTTAAAGCATTTAATCCCTCTTTATGACTTATTAAAACTAGTTCTTCGTCACCTGAACTACTATCAAATTCTGCAGATTGAGTTGCAAGATCAATAATTTGTTCATCATCTAAAAACTCTTCTGTTGGAACAATTTCATTATCATTAATATAAGTAGCAAGCCCACTTATATTTATAGCAGTTTCTAAACTTAAAACCTGTTGTAAATTCTCTATATCATTTTCTTCTAAATTCCGTTGTTCTTCTATTGCCGTTTCAATAATTGATGGTTCAGAATCAGGCAAAATACCTGTTTTTTTCCAACAATTTTGAATTGTTTGTTGTGTAACACTATTCCATGCACCTCCGATAAAATTAATTGCTTCTAAAACATTTAATTTTCTAATAATTGAAATTAATAAGTAAAATTTCAATTTAATTTAATTTATTAATTTAACTTACTTATCTTCTTCATTACATTCGAATTTTCTAATTAATTCTTGGGCATATAATTTTTTATATTTCAGCTATAAAATAATCATTGTTAAAAATAGATTATAAAAAAAAAAACTCAGATAAAAATATAAACCCCGCATACTTTAAAATTATTAATGATTCCAGCATCCATAGGTTGTAGGTGTGCCGTCGTATAAGGTGGCAAAAAATGAAGAGTAATATTGCTCAGTTTTAAAGTATTTTTCTTTTTGCATTTGCTCCTATAAAAAAACATACAGTATACAATTTAATAAAATGTTCTTATAAATAATAAATTATAATACAATTTACTATACAATGCTAACTACGGTACTCCACTTGTATAATACCTGAAGTATTATACTTGATAATTTTTCATGTAATAAGTTTTATATAGGATATATCCCCAATATTCTAGAAATACTTTGCATGAGGTATTGTGATCAGCACTGTATAGCAATTCATAGAACTTTTTAGTCTATTAAATTCTTTTTACTATTCTTATGGGCCCAATTTAATACACTCTAAAACATGAATATAACGTTACTTTTTTATGAGATAGTAAAGTTGAAATAATAGGCATTTCCATGGCTAAATAATTTGCTAACATTATAATCTCAATATTTAATTTTGATTACAATACCTGCTATTATTATTACTATCTGAGAAACCACGTTTATAACCGTGACTAAATAAAATAAGACATAAATTAGCTTAGTAATTTTTTTTTATACCATTATTATAAACTAAATTAATCTAAAAAAGTATTAATCACCTAGTACTATTATCAGGGAATTCACAACCGGGACTAGAAAATAAAAAAAAAAGGGTTAGTAAATGCCTTTATATTTTCTCTTGGAATAGGCTTAAATGATTTAGAAATTATTAATTACCTATTACTATTATCATTTTCAGGAGAAATATCATGGCTATAACCAGGGCTAAAAAAAAAAAAAGAAATAAGATTAGTAAATTAAATTTAAGTGAAATAATTAGATATTAATTTACCTATTGCTGTGGTTACTCTCAGGAGACATATCACGACTGTGACCACGATTACAACCAGGGCTATAAAGTAGAAAACAAAATAATGTTAGTGAATCTTTTATAATTTCTTTTAAACTAAATTTAATTGAAAGAATTGGGTATCAATTTACCTATTGCTACTGTTACTCTCAAGGAACATACCACGGCTGTGACCACGATTACGACCAGGGCTAGAAGTAAAAAACAGAATAATGTTAGTGAATTCTTTTATAATTTCTTTTAGACTAAATTAAGTAAAAGAATTGTGTATTAATTGTCGCGGCTGAAGCTTGAAACGGCTGAAGCTTGAAATTTTAATTATTTTAATATGAAATTTTCAAAAATTTTTGGATGCATTTTTTTAGCTTTTTTTAATAATAAAAGATAAGTGATTTTTGGTAGGGTTTATATTCCTAAATCAAGATCCCTGATTTAAAGCTTCAACCGTTTCAAGCTTCAGCCGCGACATTAATTTACCTATTGCTGCTGTTACTATCAGGGGACCTACTACGGCTATGATCACGATTACGACCAGGGCTAGAAAATAAAAAAAAAAACAGAATAATGTAGTGAATCCTTTTATAATTTCTTTTAGACTAAATTTAAGTGTATTAATTTACCTATTGCTACTATTACTCTCAAGGAACATACCATGGCTGTGGTAACGGTTACAACCAGGGCTAGAAAATAAAAAACCGAATAATGTTAGTGAATTCTATTATAATTTCTTTTAGAGTAAATTAAGTGAAAGAATTGTGTATTAATTTACCTATTGCTACTGTTATTCTCAAGGGACCTACTATGGCTATGATCACGGTTATGACCAGGGCTAAAAAATAAAAAACAGAATAATGTTAGTGAATCCTTTCATAATTTCTTTTAAACTAAATTTAAGTGAAAAAATTGGGTATTAATTTACCTATTGCTACTGTTACTCTCAAGGGACATACCACGGCTGTGACCACGGTTACGACCAGGGCTAGAAAATATAAAACCGAATAATGTTAGTGAATCCTATTATAATTTCTTTTAGAGTAAATTAAGTGAAAGAATTGTGTATCAATTTACCTATTGCTACTGTTATTCTCAAGGGACCTACTACGGCTATGATCACGGTTATGACCAGGGCTAAAAAATAAAAAACAGAATAATGTTAATGAATCCTTTCATAATCTCTTTTAAACTAAATTTAAGTGAAAAAATTGGGTATTAATTTACCTATTGCTACTGTTACTCTCAAGGGACATACCACGGCTGTGACCACGGCTACGACCAGGGCTAGAAAATATAAAACAGAATAATGTTAGTGAATCCTTTTATAATTTCTTTTAGATTACATTTAAGCGAAATAATTAGGCATTAATTTACCTATTGCTACTGTTGCTCTCAAGGGACCTACCACGGTTATGACGAGGGCTAGAAAGCAGAAAAAAAATAATGCTAATGAATCCTTTTTCTATATCATATTTAAATAAAAAAAATTATGATTAATTAGATATTACTTTACCTATTGCTAACAGAAGACATACCACGGCTAAAAAATAAGAACCAATAAATCTCTTCAATTCTCTTTTTTATTTTAATTTTAATTTTTTTTTTTTTTGACTAGATTTGATGAAATAGACTAGAAAAATAAAAAATAAATTACCCATTACTATTATCATTT